CACAGAGAGACCCACATTTCTCTTTTTTTAGAATTATTTATTTAATTTTATGTATTATTATTGTTATTTTTTAAATTTGCCATAGGGCATGTGCATTCCCCAGAGAGAGAGAGAGAGAGGGAAAGTGAGAAACTGAGCCACCAGGTCTGGGACTCTAACCACGGTCAGCCATGTGGGAGTCCAGCTCCCCATCACTACACCACCTGCTGGCCCAGACACACTTTTTTTCCTAAGAATTATTTATCGGGACCAGCAGTTAGCATAATGGCTATGTCTCTGGACTCCCATGTAGTTGACTGCTGTTTGACTCCTGGACCCGGCGGTTTAAACTCACGCCGGGCATGTGTGCATGCGTGCCCAAGATCCTGAGAGGAGAATAGAGGAGAAGGGATTGAGGCATGGCCATCCCCCCAGTGGATGATTTCTCACTTTCTGTCTGTCTTTCTTTGTCTTTCTGGTGAGCACATACACCCTATAGCAAAAACCTCTTCCCCCCCCCAAAAAAAAGAGAATTATTTATTTAGGGACCAGCAGATGGCATAATGGCTATGTCACTGGATTCCCATGTAGTAAGCTGTGGTTCAAGTCCTGGACCTGGTGGCTTAAACTCATGCTGGGCATGTGTGTGTGCGTGTCCAAGATCCTAAGAGGAGAATGAAGGACAAGGGATTGTGGCATGGCCATCCCCCCTGGGGGGGTGATTTCTCTCTTTTTGTCTCTCTGATTTTCTGGCGAATGCATGTGCCCTATAGCAAAAACCTCTTAAAAAAAAGAGAATTATTTATTTAATTTTATTTATTATTATTATTATTATTTTAATTTGATACAAGACACACATGATCACCAGAGAGAGAGAGAGGAGGGAAATGAGAAAGCAAGCCACCATGTCCAGGACTTGAACTGCCATCAGTCACACAGGAGTCCAGCACTTTAACCATCATGCCACCTGCTGGCCCCTGCTTTTCTCATATAGAACTCTGTATTTGGTCTTCAAATTTATTTGATGAGGCCTATTTGACTCATTATTTGTAGTATGTATTGAGCACCTACTGTAGGCAGAGCCCTAGAGAAAGGAGGATGATAGTATCAGTAAATACTATTCCAGCCATTAACTTGAATGGCTACACACATTTGAATTTCAAACTCATGAGCAGGGTATGCACTTTGCAGACTGTTCGGAGACAGGTGTCGGGACCATGTGCAGACACGTGCAGGGAAATAGCAGGGAGGGGAGACTGCTTGGCATGGCTGAGGCTGCCACAGGGTGAACCACTAAGGGGTAGCCCAGCCAGGACCTTCTCCCCAACAGCGTTTCTTCATCATGAGAAAGAGAATGGGAAACTCCTTAGGCAGGAAAGGAGACCGTGAATTGACGAAACTATTAGAGCATCTAATCCAGAAATCTCTTTGAGCACAAGGGAACTGATGGAGAGATGGATGGGGAACCTATGGGTACAGTAGTGGTTACCGTATTTGTAACATATGCTGAAAATGAATTAAATCAACAGATACCTTGCTTATTTGAGAGGTGAGTGTTAATGAATTCTCACGTGTTGTCCAGAAGGGCTGGTTTGTTTTCTTACATTTTTTATCAATCCCAGTTTGTCAGTGGTGGACCTGAGGCCCAAAGTTCAAGTCAATAACAGCAGCCATGAACCCGGTGAGTGACTTTACTCTCAGCAGCCCGGACCCAGAGGCTGTGAGACACCTCCTGGAACCTCACGTAGACCCATGTGCCTTCCCTCTCCAGTGGCTAGCCTTGAATCTTCAGACAAGTAAGCACTGGGCCCTCCATCCAGAAAATGGAAGCATCTTCCATTTAAAGAGAACTTAGAAGAGATTTACTCAGAATCCTCTACTTGGTAGATGGGGAAACTGAGTATCAGTGAGGCCAAATGACTTAAACATAGGGTGACCACTAATTTATCTGAATATATGAGTGAATGTGTGCACTATAAATAAGTATTCAGGGCAGCAGCAGAAATTGGGCCCGTCCCAGGCTAGTCAGAACCAGGACCACGTCCAGAACACTGTCCACTATGCCTCTGTGCTAGGGCACCTGATTTTCATTATCTTTTTAAAAAAATGTTTATTTATTTGTTGTGATTTTCAAGCAGTCAGGTCCAGGACTCAAACCACAGTCAGCCATGTGGGAATCCAGCACCTTAACCATCATGCCACCTACTGGCCCTATTTTATTTATCTTGAAGACTGGAATATTTGTGACCAGATAGTTAGAAAGATTTCCATCAGGAAATATGATATGAGTGTACTGCCATCCTCACTTGGTTACCCCTCTAAGACTATGGGTTTTTTTTAATTTTATTTATTCATTTATTTTACTTTAATTTGACCAGAGAGAGAGACACAGAGAGAGAGAAAGAGAGAGAGAAAGTGAGAAGGCAAGCTGCCAGATCCAGGACTTGAACCGTGGTCAGCCACGTGGGAGTGTCCAGTGTCTTAACCACCACACCACGCGCTGGTCCCTAAGACTATGGTTTTGGACGTCTATGACTCTGACCTTTTACTGCATCCATTTACAGCTTAAAGCTGGCACACATCCCCACCCCTGGCTGGGTCAGGGTCACTCCTTCCAACTCTCAGCAAAGGGTGGGAGCAGCAGCTCCAACGACTCAGGTTCCCAGACTTCCAGGCTCTACTCCAGAGCCTAGGCTGCCTTATCGCTAATCTTCTCACCCTGGTGATTGCATCAGAGTGAGGAAAGTTTGGCCTTGGGATTCAGATTTACAGAGGGGAGTTATCAGTTCCTACAGCAGCAAGTTGAAATGGAAGCATGGGGTATGGTATGACTAGGGTCTCAGGGCACCTAGTCCTGAGATGTCACCCAATAACCATGGGACTCTGGTAAGTTTCTAGCCCTTTATGGGTCCTCACTGCTGTCTCTACAAAACCAGTGGACTGGACCAGAATCCCCAAGGTCCCTGGCAAGCCTAGGACTCCACGTTAGTGTCAGAGAGACACTGTCATGTGACTGATAAGTGGACCAAAGGTACCTGGGGCCATGGTCATCCCACCAGCAGGGGAAGTGGGCCAACGTGCTGAGGAAGCATCACATGGTATGTTCTGCTCACAAGCTGCTCACGGTGTCCGCATACTGTGGAAGGGACTGTGTGTGGCACAAGTATTCAGCCACATCCCCGATCTACATCTTCAGACATGAAGGACTTGAAGTTACACTGTATAACAGCCTGGTGAAAACTCTGATTTTTCTTAATTCAGGTCAATAATCTGTTTTCTTCACATTTACTACGTGTTAGAAACTATGGAAAATATTATATCCTTTCTGCTTTTGAGATTGAAGTTTGGGAGAGAGGGGCATGTAGACAGGCATAAATGTAGGGAGATTAAACTGAAATACCATATATTAAAGGTTGTGGGACAGGGCGGGGGGTTTGATAGGACTGATTTTGGAATGGCAACAGACATTTTTTAAAAAAGATTTGTAAGAAGAAAACACTTGCCTCTTCTCTTTTATATCCCTCACGGTACCAATTCCTTGCTCATAGGGACAGTCTGAGTTTTGGAATCAAGCCACTTGAGTCTAAATCTTGGCTCTACCACCTATTAGTTTGAGCCTTAGTTTCTTCATTTGTAAAATGGGAGAAATAAAGTGATCCTGAAGATAAATGAGATAATTAATCCATGCTACATACTTGGCACCCTGCCTGGCAGAGCACTGCCCAGTGTGAACTGTTACTCAATAAATGTTTGCCTAGTAAATGGATTGGCGTTTTCATCTGTGACCCAAGTCTTTCATCTTACATATTCAAATGGGCCTCCCGTTTTGAGTTCTTCACTGAACACCTTATCTATGGCTAAGATTGAGCTCAGACTCAGTGGCCTGGCATTCCTACCGTGCCATTGTGAGGGATCAGGAATAAGGCCCATGGTATATACAGTCATCTGGGGCGCAGAAGGGTATGACTTGGTGCTATCCATTGGAGTCTGAAGTCATAAAACATTGACGTAGGAAGGGACCCAGGAGATAATTTAGTCGGGTCTCCTCATTTTTTTTTTTTTTGGAGAGGTTTTTGCTCTAGGGAGCCTGCGCTTGCTAGAAAGACAGAGACAGCGAGACAGAAAGGGAGAAATCATCCCCAGGGGGATGGCTATGCAGCAATCCCTTCTCCATTCTCTTCTTGAGATCTTGGGCACAAACACACACATGCCCTGCACGAGTTTAAGCCAATGGGTCTGGGACTTGAAACGTGGTGGACTACGTGGGAGTCCACTGACATAGCCTTTACACAAGCTGCTGGTCCTGGTCTCTTCATTTTAGACGACTTGGCTTAGAGAAGGTAAGCGACTTGCCCAGTGTGGTGGCACTCACCTGGTGGCAGTGCAGGACTGGAACCCAGGAATCCTGAGCTCCCATGCTTTCCCTGGCTACTGCATTCTTAACATGCCCCTTGGGTCATAGCGACCTGGGTTCCCTCCTTCCTCCTCCTCCTATGTCCAGAGGAAAACCTACCTGCTTCCACTTTTAGGTAGAATTAGGACCCTTACCTGTTCGGAGCTAGCCCTCAACTCAAAGTGGGGAGAAAACAAAAACAAACCCCAAAGTCCTTCAGCCCCTTAATGCTCCATGCTTTTCCACCAACTTTCTCCTTCCGGATCTTAATAATTGAACATGCTTTGCAAGTTCCGTGGTGGCAATCCTCACATTGGCGTCACCAGTACAGAACGTAGCCTTGGGGGCTTTCTTTAGAGAGGGCAGGTGAGGCCAGCACAGCTAAGGCAACTTTTTCTCCAGGCTTCAGACCTCGGATCAAAAAGCTTGGCGACTTTTCTTCTCTTTCCAAAAGGGCAAAGGGAAGAAAACCCGGCAAAAGCAAGATGGAGAAGGGGGGGAACTCGGGAGAAAGTCAGTGGAGAGGTTGAGAAGAACTGAGCTGGACCACATCCTGGCCAGCAGAGGCTCAAGTGTGTCTACTATTAAAAGAATACTTGCTCAATGGGAAAATCGGATATGCATCAAAAGCACAAAACTACGCGCGGGACTTTCCGTAGTTCCCACGCGGGCGCACCGCGTTTACTTTCATTCGTCTACCTATCTTATCTATCACTATATAAAGATTCGCGCGAAATCTAGTGGAATATTCACTGCTGCCCTGATTCTTCCCCTCTCGCGCATCGCGTAATTCCCGAGAACGCGGCTGTTCTCAGCCTGGACGCCTTGAAGTTGAGCCTTCAGGCCGCCGAGTCCCCGCCTCGCAGGGCGCGGCGCCTCCACCGGGGGCAGGAACTCGCTCCTGCGGGAGCGCGGGCGGCCACTGCGGCCTCTGCGCCTCCGCCGACCTCGGCCGCCCGGGTAAGAGCGCAGGCCCGGGTCGCGCGCCGAGCGGGCTGGGGGCTCGCGGGCGAGGGAGG